GCCCAAAACGTCAGCCTTTTTGCTGCTATGATGCTGCTTGGCCTGCTGTGTTCATCCAGCTCTGCACCTTGTTGTCTCGGATTCTCCAGCATCTGCAGTTCCTACTATCTATCTCTCTCTCAGCAGTTCTATGCTGTAGTTTCACTTGGTTGACACCTTAATTTTAGGTATACCTGGTGCTGTTTCTGGCATGCCCTCCTGCAATTTTCACTGAACCAGGATTGATCCCCTGACTTGATGTAACAACGGAGTAAGAGAAATACCAGGCATGATGTTGCCAAAATGGTTCTGAGTTCGAACCAAGATATCCCAAGCTGTTAAACTCCTTATTGAAGATGGTTAAACTGGCTCCATTTCTTTATTCATGAACCCCCTTGGTTGGTTACAACAGGTTAATTTGAAAAGAATCCTTTCCCAGGCCCAAATGAGCTTATATTTTAACAGGAGGTGATATAATCAGAGTTTCTTAAATTAACAAAAAGAGTAAATTTATTAATTACCACATACAAAAAGAAATGCTAACAAATACAACACGCATATGCACAGATTCAAAATTAGAGATGAGTCCAAAAGAATAAACATTAATCTCATCAAATATACAGATCAATCTGTGAATTATTCATGAAGAGCAGATAATTGAATGTTCCAGCTATTGCAGTCAGAGGTTACTGCTAGCATTGATATTACTAGTTGCACAGTTGATTTGACAATCCTTAGTTTTGCAGATTGTCTGTGATTCTGTAGTTGTAATTCCTCTCAAGTATGATTAAATTCCAACCTTCCTGTTTTCCTTTGGTCTGGCTGCTAGCTAGCTGACTTCAATGCTCAACATGACAGAGCATCTTTACACAAGGATTAACGAGAAGATAGTTCTTTGGCAGTGATATTCAAAGCAGGCTGGAGCTCAGGCTGATACACACATGAGCAATCAGTCCTACTCGCCCACTCCAGTGAAGTTGAAATTGCTTCTTTAAACCACTGTCCTTGTGTTTTCATTAAAGGGAAGAACTCAAAGTGTGTCTAGTTTGGGACATAATCCACAGGAGCGTCTTGCTGTTATCAACTCCTTGTTACCTTTCCAGTCTGTTTTGACTTCAGTATGTGTGAAATTCTATTACTCCTCCCTCCAAACAAACACTTAAATTTAATCTGCAACCATCTTGGCTCAATTAAATAGGTAAAGTCGCCACAGTCCCAAAGGACAATAGGGCTGCACACATTAGAGATAAATAACTGGTGATGGTTTTTACCTGAGGGTCACCACACCTCAGGGTGATGGGATACATTGAGGAGGCAAGTCCTCCATAGTAACCTCAACAAGTGCGGAAATTGGCATCACTCTGTATCGCAAACCAGCCATCCAGTTAACTGAGCAAATTAGCCCTCTTTTAAAGAACACATTTTAAAATTACAAGTTAAAAAGTGTCCACAGCACTTCTTGATTTTGACCGGTGGTTATGACAGCTGCTGATGATGATCCACATCTACATAAAAGCATATTCCTGAGTTGCTAGATCTGTTCAAAATCTGTCCCATTTAGCATCATGGTAATGCCACACAGCACGACAGTGGGTATTCCAAATGTGAAGCTGAGACTTTGTCTCCATAGGAATGACATGGTGATCATTCTTACTAGTACTGTCTTGGATGGATGTATCTCTTAGAGGCAAATTCGTGATGATCGGATCAATTATGTTCATCTCTTTGGTTGGCTCCCTTACCACCTGTCGTAGATTCAGTCTCACAGCTATATGCCTTAGGACTTATCCAGTTTGATCAGTAGATGCGCTGCTAAGCCACTCTTGGTGGCGTCCTGAAAGACCCCCACCAAGAGTATATTCTGTTCCATTGCCATCCTGAATGCTTCCTGTAAAGAATGCTCAACATGGAGGAGTACGGATTTTTCAGCTGAGGGGGTGATATGTGGCAGTCAGCGGAAGATTTCCTTGCCCATGTTTGACCTTATTGTCATGATCATGAAGCAGGTGATGCCATGAGGATGGTGGCAGTGCTATCTGACACATTATGTATGATTTTGTGAATATGATTATGTCAGATTATTGCTTAACTATTCAGCGAAACAGCTCTCCCAGTCTTGGAACAACCTAGATACCAGTAAGGATGACTTTATAGTGTCAACAGGGCTGAGTTTGCCATTGTCGTTTCTGGTGCTTAGGTCAGATGGTCTGATCAATTTCATTCCTGTGTTGAGACTTTTTGAGTAATTTTATAGAATTAAATAGATTGGTAGGCTATATCAGATTAAGATTCAACAACATTGCTGTGGGTCTGCTATCAAATATAAGCCAGACCAGGTAAGGACAGATTTCCTGCCTAATGAAAATTAGTGAACCAAATGAGTTTTTACAACAGTTGACTTACGGTTAATCATTAGACTTTAAATTCCAGATTGATGCAATTCAAATTCCACCATCTGTCACAGCAAGATTTGAACCTGGAACCTCAGAGCAATACCTAGATAGCCGCATCACTATTCCTACAACAACACCACTACACCATCACATTTGCATTTGCACCCAGAAGTCGCATGTGGATAATCCATTCTGGATCCCTCCTGAGGTTCCCAGCATCACACAAGCCAGTCTTCAACCAATCAACTCACTCCACGTAATATCAAGAAATGGCAAAATGCACCAGACACAGCATGGCTAAGGCCCCTGACAACATTCAGCAGTTGCACTGAAGACTTGTGGTTAAGAACAAGCTACACCTCTAGCCATGTTTTTCCAGTACAGTTACAAACTGGCATCTACCAGACATTGTGGATAATTACCCAAGTCCTTTCCACACATAACAAATAGGACAAATCTAAGCTGGTCAATTACCATTGTATCAGTCCACACTTGATCATCAATAAAATAAAGGAAGGTGCCAAAAAAGCAGAAATTGCTGTAAAAACTTGGCAGGTATGGCAGCATCTTTGACTTTGTCTGTTTAGATTGAGATTTTCTTATAAATATAAAGGCTATAGGGCTCTTGTGAGGATTATTTATTCTAAATTATTCAAAATATTTTTTATGAACTCTATTAATTTTAAATATGGCTATTTTGATGACTATTCCTTTACAGGAAAACCTTTGTAGTCAAAGAGGCTTGATTCCGAATACGGACATTGAGACATTTGAGATATTCATCACAAACAAGATCAGAGAGAAATATGACAAGATTCGAGAGCCATTACATTGGGTCTGAGTAGCAATTAATATACTTTTTTAATACATTTCAAGAATACAGTTTAGGGAGTCATTTATATGTTCCTAAATTTTGGTCCAATTTTACAGAGAAATGAATCTGATCGCCTCTTGAATCAAACTAGTGATTTATTTGAACGTAGAATGAAAGCTTATAATACCACTAATAAATTTCTTGCTTCATTCATTGATCATGTGAGTAATCTATTACATTTATCTACTCTGAAAGTGACAACAGTGTAATCCATTAGCCAGTTTTTATACTTTTATGTTTATATTTGTCGTGATAAAATAATTACTTTAGCTTGATAACTGGTTTATATATCTAAACAGAATCCTGATTGCTACATGCTTACCAAACAGATATTTTTGTAAGTTATTAATTTACATAAATCATTATTTGGAAAATGATGTGCTTGGCTCATTAAAGCACTGCTTTTGATGCATTGACTGGAAATCCACCAAAATACAAGTCGAACCCCCGAGCAGTGCCCCATAGGCCCTTCACTTGTATAAATTAGGAGCTTCAAAGAAGAAAGCTTGAATTAGATTAGGTAGAATTTTCCCTCCTTGGTGTAGCAAGAATAATAATGAGCGAGGTGACTGAATAGGGCAAGACAAAGAAATCAGATTCTTGACATTGAGGAAAATTCGCCTGATTTTACCTTAAAGCCTTAAATGGTGATTTCAGAATGCCAACTGGATTGTCTTCATGTATTAATTCATTGCATTAAGGATCACACTTTCAATTTTCCTCTCCACCAGTGAGAAACCTAACATACAATAACTGACAGGTAATCAAGATTGGGTACCTGGCCACTTGTCTCAGCATCTCTTTCAGTTCACAAGAATGCTTGGACCTGTTATTTATCTCCAATCTCTATACATTTGCTTCTTTGGCACAACGTTCCTCCAAAGTCCTTGACTACTCTTCTCATTACCCCTACATTCACACAATTTGGCATCGGCAAACCACCAGAGTCACCACATCATCATACTTGGTCTTGGAGCAACTCAGTCACTACTTCAGGGCTTCAGCTATCTACTTTGGAGCTGGGTCCTAGCTTGCAAACTGACTTCAGCACTTACAAAAAGGCGTTCAGCCTCCATGGGTGACATTGTCTTTTTGCACACAAGATCTGGAGTACTGAGCTACAGCCTGCCAGCCTCTGTGCTTTAGCTTGCTGTTCAGTGAGGAAGAAGAAATAGGCAGCGTGTGGCAGTGGACGTGTTGAAGAGTAACTGCAACAGTCAGGCACAGTGAGAACATGTCATAGTATGACATCATGATGCTCTAACATCAGAGATCCTGCACATGTCAGCAGCTTACATGGCAAACACATTGCATGGGCTTCAAATAACTGGCGATGACTGAAAGTCAAAGGGAACAGTATTTTGTGAGCTGAAGAGGAGTTAGAGGAGTTGATGGAACCACCACAGTCAGGCAGGGGCTACTGCCACAGTCATTCAAGGGGCTCATTTGATTACAGTCCTAGATGTTGATCATGGTCAGTCAGGCACTTGATCCAGTAGGAGTCCGTGGATCCATGTCCTTGCAATTCAGAATTAGGCCATAGTCAATCCTACAGGTCCAGTCTAAACAATCCAGGAATTACAGGCATATCCGTCAGGATGCTGTTGAGATGTCGGTTCACAAGTGGACTGTGGTCAGTCCTTTTGGTTAGGGCAATAATAGTCAAGGACTTATCACAAGGGAAGTCATGGCATCCTGGGGAAAGAAAACAACTTAAGTCAATGGATTGGCATCAGTGTACTGATTCACTGAGGGAGTGGGGTCACTATGAAGGGGGCAGTTGCAGATAGTTGGGTGGGACTTCAAAGTGAATTGGAGTGAAGTTGGAGCTTTTGAAGGGTGTTTTTATAGGAGGTGGTTACTTTGCTACTTAAGGAGGGTGTGAGGACAACAAGGCCATAAGAATCTTCAGATATTTGGACACTGGATCAAAAGTGGGCATATTTATTGATATGAAAGGGCTCAACAGAAATGGGAAGAAGCTGTATGTCATCCTTGTCATTGGGGTCAGAATTAACTGCTTTGATTCTGAGGCCTTGCTAGGGCAATTGCAGTAGTCATGCCTTCACTGATTAAGCAATGTTACCTTCAATTTGCACTTCATCAGGAGGTCAGTCATTGTCCAAAAATGCAGATTTGAAATGATGGCCTCCCACTGTCATGAGTATTACATTGTGCTCTGATTCTTTGAGTCATGTAATCTCAACAGGTGGTATGATAACAAGGAACCTAAAAGTACAACCTGAAGTTCTCATTTGGCAGTCACATTTACAGCAAGTTCTGGAAGACAGTGGAACACAGTTGCAATATTCTCACACTGAAATGTAAGTATGCAAGGACATGAGCTGTGATGTGGGAGGAAACATTTCCTTGTCAAGGAGGGGTTGATTCATAGTAGTTTACTAACAGAAATGTACTCCTAATGTAGCAAAAAACATTGGTTGCCCACCCTACAATTGGATAAGTTTACTTACCTCAAAGTTCTTTAGCAAGGCATGGCATTGACCTCTTTAGAAAGCCTCCAAGTCACGGTGTGTGAAGTCATTAACAGTATAATTCCTTCGTTATGTACGTGAGGGCTCAGCGGTTTCATTAATAACACTACATTATCTTTCTGACTTCCCCCACAGATTATCTGTTCATAGAGCTCACATGGAGAATGCAGTCACTGGAGTCCTTGTGACCTTGCTTAAATCAAAGGCAATCCAAAAGGAGACAGTAATTACAAATTTGTCAGAAAGCTCAGCAAATTCCACACAGCATCCAGACGGAGAAGCAGCAAGACAAGATCATTTTTTTAAAAATTAACTCACAGGAGGAGGGTGTCACTGGCTGGCCAGCATTTATTGTCCAACCCTAATTACCCTTGAGAAAGTGGTGGCAAGCTTCCTCCTTGAATAGCTGAAGACCATTTGTTGGAGGTACACCCACAGTGCAATTCAGGAGGGAATTCCAGGATTTTGACCTAATGACATTGAAGAAAAGATCATATATTTCCAAGTCAGGATGGTGAATAACTTGGGGGGCAACTTTAGGCAGTGGTGTTCCCACGTATTTGCTGCCTTTGTCCTTCTAGATGGTGGTGTTTATGGGTTTGGAAGTTGCTGTCAAAGGATTTCTGGTGGATTTCTGCAATGCATCTTGTAGAAAGTGCACACTGCTGATTCTGAGCATCGGTGGTAGAGGGGTTGAATGTTTGTAGATGTAGTGCCAATTAATTGGTCTGCTTTGTTCTGGATGGTATCAAGCTTCTAGACTGTATTTGGAGCTGCACTTATCCAGGCAAGTGAGAAGTGTTCCATCACATAATGTGTCTTGTAGATAGCGGACAGGCTTTGGGGAGTCCAAAGAGGAGGTATTCCCTGCAGGACTCCCAGCCTTTGACATGCTCTTCTGCCACAGTACTTATATGATTAGTCCAGTTGCGTTTCTGATCAATGGTAACCCCTGGGATTTTTATAGTGGGAGATTCAGTAATGGTGATGGCATTAGATTTTAAGAGGCAATGGTTAGATTCTCTCTTGTTGGCGATGGTCATTGTCTGACACATGAGTGGTATGAATGTTACTTGTCACTGATCAGCCCAAGCCTGGATATTGTCCAGGTCATATTAGAATTGACTGCATTATGATCTGAAGAGTTGCAAATGGTGCCAAATATTGTGCAATCATCAGCAAACATCTCCTTATAATGGAGGACAGGTCATTGATCAAGCATCTGAAGATGGTTGGGCCCAGGACACTACCCTTAGGAACACCTGTAGAGATGCCCTAGAACTAAGATGATTGATCTCCAAAAACAACAGCCATTTTCCTTTGTACTAGCAGAGAATTTTCTCCTGATTCTCATTGACTCCAATTCTGCTAGATCTTCTTGATGCAACACTCGGTCCAATGCAACTTTGATGTCAAGGGCTGTCACTCTCACCTCACTTCTGAAATTCAGCTATTTTGTCCATGTTTGGATCAAGGGTGTAATCAGGTCAGGAGCTGAGTGGCCCTGGTGGAACCTAAGTTGCACGTCTGTAAGCAAGTTATTGCTAAGCAACTGCTTTTTGATAGCACTATTAGTGATCAATTATATCACTTGGCTGATGATCGAGAGTAGATTGATGGGGCAGTAATTGGCCTAGTTGGATTTGTCCTCCTTATCAATAGGACATACCTGGGAAATTTTCCACAGTCAGGTAGATGCCAGCACTACTGATGTACTGAAACAGCTTAGTTAGGGGTGGTGCAGGTTCTGAAACACAAGTCTTTAGTATTATTAGGGAATGTTGTCAACACCGAAAGTCTGCAATATTCAAAGCGGGAACCACCAAGGATACTCAGGTAAGTGATGAGATCCAGGATTTATAGGGCTCCATTTAATTTTCTTTAACTATCTGAAAGACAGATTTTATACCATCACCTCTAAACTATGTCATTTAGTAGAATTTTGAGTGCAGAAGAACTTGCACTCAGAGATTGGGTGGCTGTCCTGTTCCTGTGATCATCATAGATCATAGAATCCCTACAGTGTGGAACTAGGCCATTTGGCCCAACAAGTTCATACCAACTCTCCGAAGTGTATGCCACCCAGGCTCACCCCTTTAACCTATCCCTGTAACACTGTATTTCCCATAGCTAATCCATTTAACCTACACATCCCTGGACAGTATGGGCAATTTAGCAAGGCCAATCCACCTAACCTGCACATCCTTGGACTGTGGGAGGAAACCAGAGTACCTGGAGGAAACCTACACAGATACCTAGAGAATGTGCAAACTCCACACAGACAATCGCCCAAGGCTGGAATTGAACCTGGATCCCTTGCGCTGTGCGGCTGCAGTGCTAACCACTGAGCCAACGTGCCGCCCCTACAGTGGCTGTCATTTTTATTCTAACAGCTTATTTCAGTAGTGTCCAGGGATGTGCAGCCGAGGTGAATTAGCCATAGGGGATGGGGGTGGGTCTGGGTGAGATGGTCCTCGGAGTGTCGGTATGGACTCAATGGGCCGAATGGCCTGCTTTGACACTGGAGGGATTCTCTGAAAAGGATTCCACTCCCTCGATGTTCAAATAATTTGTATCCATCAGTGGTATGTTTTGGAGATCTTTGTCAGATATCCTTGAAGCTGTCATGGTTCATGTATAGTAGAGAATTCATATGTACCTGCTTCTTTCCAAGGTCCTTGGCCCATACAGGGATTGCTGCAGCGACACAAAGG